CTGACTGCGTCGCCCGAGTTACGGGTGGGTCCAGTTCGCCATGAACAAGCAGTCGTAATAACCCTGAGTGAAGTGAAGTGAAGTGAAGTGGCATTCACGTTGCTACAAAGCAAGGCTTGTTGGGAGCTAATGCCCTGCGCTCGCCGCGTACGAGTCGGCCGGCGCTGCCCGCCCTGCCCGCCCTGCCCGCCCTGCCCCACTGCCGCTCTCGTTACTCCCGCGCTTGGAGAAGCCCTTCCCCAGTAAAACGAACCGCGTGCAAATATAAAGCATGACACTAAAATTCGGGGAGTCGACACGCACAGTACAAGGCACTGGACGAATAACTTAAAAAGTACATCTATTGCTTTGTAATCTCCACGTTTGGAGCGTTTCTTGGTGCTCAAAGTCAGTTTTACCGCAGCTGTACTGACGATGCCCCGCAATATCGTTTCCCCGGCCTGGTGCAAACCGGAGTGCTTTAAATGCAACAGTACTAAGGAATATAACTTTACATGAACCTATTTCTGGGCATTTTGGCAGAGCTGTCCCCAGCTGACGCTACAGAACCTGAGGATCGTGTCGACTCCCTCGCGTGTTACATAATATACGCATCGTTGCCCGTCTCTTGCAGATGAACAACTCTACGGAGACTGTGGTGGTCCTGCGGAACGTGACGCTGGCCACTTCAGGGCGGTTCCGCTGCGAGGTATCAGCTGAGGGTCCATCCTTCCAGACCGTCTCGGACCACGGCGACATGACTGTTGTCGGTGAGTATGCCACCTCATTTCTATTCTCCGTCTCACAACAGAGCCTGATGCAGTCAGTCACACCTTGAAATCCATATCATCTTTCTACTTGCTAAGTTTCCGAATACAATAAAGCACCCCATAGCGACATATTGAGTTAGTTGAAAGTAAACGTGGCCTTTCCCATTTAGAGTGTGGAATCATTACTGAGTTAAACTGTACCGTAGGCGGTCGCCTACACGTGCAGAGCCGACGAAAGAACCTGAAGGAACGGTTGGTCATTGTTGTTGTTGCACCACCACCATCATTTCCTTGACACACACGGGAGCCGGCTAATTGTTGCGAGACAATCTATTCGAGTAGGTTTGCGACCGCACGAACAGCCCTAGTCTGCTGGGCCGCGCCGGCTGCGCGTGTGTACTTTGTTTCTGTGATTCTTGTAGAGGGTTGGCCCCTCCCCGCTCCCGCTCGGTTGCCCGCGGGGGGTTGAGGGGCCGGGGCGGTTGTAGGAGGGCTTAAGATGTCCGTGCGCGCGCGTGTGTGCGGGGGCCGCTCTATCCCTCTTGCGGGCTACTTTAGCGAGATTAAACCATGACACGACTGGCGGGATTTGCCTGGGCTCGGCCAATCGCGCGGCTGGCCGGGACCCGCCTCGGCCTCGGGGGCCGTCGTGATCCCCGGTGCCGCGCGCCTCGCCGCGCCACGCACCCCGTGCCCCCCCCCC